CAGCACCCGTTGTCTTCGCTACAAGCGGACCGACCAGGCTGTACCTATTCGCGATGCCTCGATATGCATAGACACATGATTCCTTCAGGCTTTGCACCGGCCGTAATATCTGCAGTGCCTCCATGGACAGTGACTAAACCGCTGGTGTGCCTTCACATATGTGGAATTTCGTATAAGTCACGTGTTTCTTATATTACCCTCAAGCAACTCACCTTGGCACATTTGGATGACCAATACAGCGACTCTGTGCTCATTCACACCGATGAATCCGTAACTTCATCCGCCTCAGCTGCAGCCTTCATGATCCCTCAACTCGGTATTTCCCGACAGTCGACAGTACAAATTAGATCATATATGTCATCTTCGACAGCTGCACAACTGGTTGCTATGCAGGAAGCCATGAAACTTGTGAACGACCAAGCACCGCGTAAATGGACGATTCTGCCCGATGCAAAATCAGCGCTTCAAGCTATCCATTCGTGCTCAAGAAGAGGCAAATTTTACGACTTAGCGTTAGGAATCGTCCAAGCATTTGACCTAACATACAGGAGTGGTCACTTGATTACACTCCAATGGATTCCGGAACATTGTGGCCTGGTTGGCAACGAAACAGCCGATAGCGAAGCAAGAGCAGCAGTATTCAACGCTCCTATGTACGTCAAAGTACCGTATTCGCGAAGTGACGTCAACACATTGTTGAGATCGCTCATGCGCGAAAGCGCTTCCACTTACTTGTCACTACCAGATCACTGGAACAAGCGTCTGCGGGAAACAGACCCGGGTATGACTTTGCGTCTTCCAGTTAAAATCAGCTGAAGACATGCTAATTATATACTGCACCGGATTCGCCTGGGAGTCGTCTTCACTCGCCACTGCGCCCACCTAATCAATCGTGTGGACAGCCCGAATTGTGAGCGCTGCCAAGTGCGCGAAACTTTAGCTCACATATTTTGTGACTGTGCATTACACGAGGCGCAAAGAACAATGCTAACTGCGACGTTGGCAAGCATCGGACGAACGCCATTGAGTGAAAGCCACATATTGTCAGCAATGAATGACCAAACAGTGTCAAAAACTGCTACAAAGGCTGTTTTAGATTTTATAAAAAGCACTGGACTAGACTGTAGGGTACTATGCCAAGTGGCTACTGTACATACGCACCACCTCTTGTTGTCCCCATCATCACCCTTCATTCCTCTTTCCTTCCCCCTTACCTTCTCCCCTGTGTAACGTAGCAGGCTAGAGCGAACTAGCTCAGGCTGACCTCTCTGCCGTCTAATAAATTCTCCCTCCCCCCCCCCCTCGACAAAATGGATAGTAAACTCAGCGACGCCTGCAGCGAGTCCGGCGAACTGTATTCGGCGAGCAGTGATGATTACAACAATGACTTCACGCATGTTACATTCGAGAACCACAACGAAAGTCTCTGGGTGTTGCACCGCCTTTAGCAGCATGCACGTACTGTGATTTCTAAGGTGGTTTCAACGAACTACAACGTCTTATTTCTGCGTATTACACCATCGGACCGGCTAAGACTCCGAAATCAGAAGACGGTCTCCAAAAGACTTGAGTTTCTAGCGCGAAACGAAGTCAACAATGTCTTAGAAACCGACGTTATACACCCGGTATCTCCGCTTACTATGACCCCGTCAAAGACTTCAACAGTATTCAGGTCCGAGCTCACATTTCATGTAACAAGAACATAGTGGTTGCTTTAATACACGATGTCTACATCTTCATTCCTCGTGGTAACCCCTCCGGTGTCATAAATGTTAAAGAATGGGTCGTATAAGTAGTGTATACTGCCACGGGGTGATTAGTGCCCGCTACGTAGGGACACAGAATGCGGAATCCTGCCGAGCTTCTACGAGCACCACCTGCTACGGGCCACAGGAAGATTTTTCAAGAGGCTGGCCATTAGTGAGTGAGGAATGGGGCGTGTTGATACAGAAAGTACGGATTGGCTCAAAGCTAAAAGAGGCTGCTGATATTGTGAGAAATACAAAACAACACTCACGTCGGTGACGGAGGTCAAAGATAACTGGTGCGCGATGAGGACGGACACTGTGATGTCCTACTCCGGCATATCGCCCGACGTCTCTTAGGCGACAGCCACCACCACCACCGCATTGCAATACTGTCGGAGAGCTGCAAATGAATGAATGAATAGACTTTATTTAAAGTCCGGCAGTTTTACCGGGTGAGGTGGGGGAAGAGGGGATTAACCACTGTCCCTTCCCACTCTCCGATTATGATGGCGGTGCCTCAGGTGACCACTCGAAGTCCTTGAACCCGAGCGGCATCTTCTGCTTGCCGGACGGCCCAAAGCTGGTCGGCCAGCTCGTCGCTGGTGAGTGCCGCCTCCCAGCGGCAGCGCAGCTGATGCCGCCGATCGGCAACAGTGACCGCTGCCGCGGCGGAGGCCGGCCCCTGCCCTCGTAGCAGCAATGGGCCCCGGATTTCGTCCGTGCCTAACATGCGTCACGAAGGGAGTGGCGGCAGTGATGTTAACTTTTTCATCACACTCCCAAAGCATGTGCTGCAGTGTGGCCCTTTCCCCGCACGCTTTACGCGCGTCCGTCAGGTATAGGTAAGGATAACACAGGCGTTGGACCACCTGGCTGGGATACGTAATTGTTTTTAATAACCTCAAAGTTACGGCCTGTTTGTTGTTCAATTTGTTGTGTGGTAGTGGATATTTGCGTCTGTTTAGCCTGTAATGTTGTGTAATGTCGTTGAATGTCGTTAGGCGATCACCCCACGACCATTCCAGTTGTTGTTGTGAAGATAGTGCCATCACCCCGTTCTCGGACGTGAAGGCAGCCACCGAATCTTCCGCGGCTCGGTGAGGGAGATCTCGAGCCGCGGTGTGGGCCACCTGGTTACCTGCGAGCAAAAGCTGGTGTGAGCGGGGGTCTACAGAAGGAAGACATCCGCATTTTTAGTTTTGAGATACGAAGACGACGACGCCGAGGCCATCGATCCTCGAAGCTCGCCGCCGTCCTTGTTGCCATTACTTGATTGTAGTATCCGGGCCGCCAGACACGAGATGCGACCACGCGCGAAGCCACGGACGGCAGCTTGCGAGCCGCCGATCACGACCGCAGCCTCCGGTACTGCGACCAGTGCAAGAGCAATAGCCGCCTCTTTGGCCGCCTCTGTGTGTTCCGTACGCATCACGGCGCTCACGGGGCATTTGTCTGTGCGATTTACAACAGCGACAACGTGAGCACGCCTTCCCTCTGGGTGTCGCACGGTGTCCACGTATACCGCTTCGTCGCTGTTACCATACATTCTTTGGAGGTCACTCGCTCTTTTGTTGCGGTGCCCGACGTAGTGTGTCGGGTGCATGTTCCTGGGGAGCGGTGGAACGATGAGACGGTCGCGGACCGCGATAGGAACCATAGTCTTCTCTCCGCATTGCGTGTGGTATGTTATGCCTAGAGATTCGAGGATGCGCCTGCCCGTCTGGAACTTGGACAATCGCTCGTACTGCGCAATGTTGTGCGCCTCGATTAGTTCGCCCATGGTGTTATGCAGGCCCACCTCGAAGATATGCCAACAGCCCTTTCGAACGCCTTGCGAATCATGCAGTTGACCTGGTTCCGTTCGGACGCCAGCCAATTTAGATAAGGGGCGACGAACGTTATGCGACTGATCGCCTACGCCTGTACAAGGCGGATCGCACAGCCTTCCCGCATACCGCTGCGTCTGTTCGTTATGCGGCGTAAGAGTCGAATTGTGTCGTCTACGGAACGTTTAAGTCTTCAAACTGTCTCATCATTGAGACCGTTGTCCTGCTGATGTAGTCCAAATATCCTTATGTTCTCTACGCTCGGTATGTAAACGCCGTCCGCCGTTATTACTCTGATTTCTGATCTCTTTCCTCCGGGAAGGACGGTTTTGTGGCCCCTTCTCGTGGGTCTGTATATCAATAGCTCAGACTCAGCCGCCCAACATTCGAGTCCCGTACCTTTCAAGAATTTCTGCACCGCGTTCACGCCCATCTGCAGTGTTTGCTTCACGTGGCCATCCCATCCTCTTATGGGGAACCAGAGGTTGATGTCGTCCGCGTTAAGGCTGTGATGCAGACCCTCTATTGTCGTTAGTTTCTCGGGTAGGCCAAAGAGGACGAGGTTAAACAACATGGGCGAAACGATGGAGCCCTACGGCGTACCCGTAGGACCCGTTTCGAATTCCGGTGATTCCGCGTTGCCGACATTGACGCTCGCACGCCTGCCTGTGAGAAAGTCGCGTATATAGTTATAAAATGTTTGGCCTAATCTCAGCGATTGGACATGGTCGAGAATCGCCGCATGCTCGAAGCTGTCAAAAGTTTTTGTCAGATCAAGGCTGAAAATCACCTTGGTGGAACTTGAAGTGCTGTTCACAATCTAATGTTTCAGCTGAAGCATCACGTCCTGTGCGGAGACGTTGCGGTGAAATCCGACCATCGTGGGGTGGGAAGACGTCAGCGTCTTCGAGGTAATCAGTAACGCGAGTCAGGACAGCGTGTTCAATGACTTTACCCACGCAGGGCGTGAGCAATATCGGCCTTAGGTTATCAATTGTCACCTGGTTGTCCGGTTTGGAAATCATGACCACGCGGGCCCTTTTCCATGCATCGGGGAGGGAGCCCTCTCACCAGCAGTCGTTAACGTATTCCGTCAGTCGCATAATTTATTCATCGTCCAGGTTGCGTAGAGTCTTGTTGGTTACCCGATCCGGGCCCGGAGCAGACCTGGTGTGGAGGTTGCTTAAGACTGCCCTAATTTCGGCTTCACTAAACTCCGTGTCTAGCTTCTCATTGTTGTCTCCCTCATACATTGCGTGCTGTGTTCTTTCCCCTGCTCTACAATAGCGGTCGCGAACAGCCTGAAGAAGCTTATCTGGCGTGCTCCCAAAGTCACGTACACGAGCCTGCTAATCTTGTGCCCCTGAGCGCTCTTGGTCTCCTCCGGATCTAGAAGGTGCCAGAAAAGGCGCCAAGCGTTCGCACCATGCATCTGTCTCTCGAGGCCATTACACGCCTCTTCCCATTGTGTGAGGCATACCTGAAAAGCGTTTTCTTCTGTCTCCCTGTCCAGTTTGGCTATGCGCCTACTTTACGTCCTATTGTGCCTCTGATGTTTCCATCTTTAGAGCTGCAAAGACACAGATGCTTTAAAGGTGCTGGTAGCGGATGTCGCGTGGCCCTTCCTACTACCACTAAGCACTCATAAGATCCTTTGCATAATCCCCCGCAATGTACTACTTCATCGTACACAGAATATTTGCACAATGAAAACCTACAAGTATTCGCCTTGTTGAAGTCCTTCATGACCACGACACGCACTTCCCTCATCATAATGACAAGTCCAACAACTCAATGCGCACTTCAACCTCTTGATTAATTGAATACAGCCCTTGCAAACCTTTTTTAACATCTTGAATAATGTTTTTAATTTTTAGACAACCACAGAGGCATCGGTCTCAATTTCTCGGTTGTGACTACCTGGGTGTGCGCGCTGAACGCTGATATGTGATTGATTGATATGTGGGGTTTAACGTCCCAAAACCACCATATGATTATGAGAGACGCCGTAGTGGAGGGCTCCGGAAATTTTGACCACCTGGGGTTCTTTAACGTGCACCCAAATCAACGCTGATATGTGAGTGCGCGTACTGGTTCATCGCGTTTTTTCTCCTCCTTGCCTTCTCCATTCTTCTCATCTCCTTTCCCCGACGTAAGGTAACAAACCGAGTGCGAGCTGGTTAACCGGCAGTCTTTCTTTTGCCTTTTTTTTCGCTCTCTAATAAGAAGTGGAAGCAGCGGCCTCGTGTGGTAGAGTGTGCACGTCTAAAATAGCTCGAGTGTATTACCACAGAAATATTTTTGTTTCGATGGAACAGCCACGTAAGCAAAATTGTTTGGCTCATGTGGTGTTCAATTAGCTTTTTACATACTGGTAGATGAGAAAGACTTTATCTGTGACATGCACGAAAACGATTAGTGACTGAACAGTGTCGCACATACGTCCACTTACGTTTAGTGGAGAGGTCGGGTTGCCTTAATATATATTCACAGGAAAAGTTACAGTGTGTTCAATACGCCGTCATGCTCAGCAGTAACCTCGCGGTACTTTTTCATTTTTGTCTCTCGTCAGTTACCTCACTAGAAACAAAAATTACTGGAAGAATCAAAATGTTGAGTCCGAAAGCTTGTCTCTCGTGTTTGGTCCAATTCAACGAATGCGTAAGGTAAGTCATCTTTGCAATATTACGTATGAGTTATTAAACCACAGCAAAGGGTGATGAATAAAGCAAGAACATGGAGATAACAAAATAGTAAAAAGCATGAACTGGAAGCTAACGCTATTATGTTTATCCGGTTTGTTTTCGTGGTCTTGCGCTATTCCTCATTCGTGATTATGATGTATCAAAAGGCCGCATTGTATGCATCCTTTAGATACATGAGGATGTATCTAAAGCACCGTACATGAGGATGTAGCGACAGAAAGCTATCTACATGTGTCTCGAATAAGATGGGAAGAGAAAGATAGAACAAGGCTGGCATGGCAAATGCCGGGGGGGGGGGGGGGGGGGGTCAGCCACAAAAACGTTGGTTGTGCCACTATACATTTGTTGTGGGGAAATAGACAGGTAAATAGACGATGAGAGTGAGGGTTTTACGCGCACAACTAGCCATGCTGAAAAACTACAATCAGTCAAAGGCCGGAGTTTCTCTGAAGTACGCAACTGTAGCTCGTTGAGATTACGCTGAAAAAATCAAGTCCGTTTCGACTTCAGTATGAAAGGTGGGTAGTGGGTGAGCCATGGTTAACACTGAAGAACACAAAAGGTATTACTGTGTAGATTAAAAACGTGCAGTGATCGCAGAGCCCTTCGGCATGTTGAACATTAGACAGTTCACTTGTGAGCATGCGTACGTCATTTTTTGGTAACATACCGAAGCCTCTTAACCAGTGTCTTATCTTCCTAAGAAATGGGGCTTGAAACCAGTGTCGAGCTTGAGTCTGTCAAATTATGTTGCTCTTCTTGAAAGCTTTCGGTGCACCGTTGGTTGTTCTTCTGGCTGTTCTGAGCACAACTGGGTACAAATATGTCTGTGTTTTCTTGGACAGTGTATTTGTTGTATGTAAACACAAGCAGTAAATATATATGGCTTCAATGATGCGAGATGTCTTAAAATACCCGATCCTAATGAATGCTTCACATTTTTTCATGGATACTTAACAACAGCCGATCTGCTTGATTGATCAAGAACGATGTCAGAAGATGGGACGAGTATGCGGGTAACTTTCTTTGCATTTTTACGATCATTTATGCTTAGTTAAAGCCAATGAGGTCGGTATATTGGCCATATACTAACAGTTTTGTGCACAAGTCCAACAATTTTTAGTTGTGCGTGCTTTCGTGATTCGCTTCAAGACTGCCTTTACTAAACCGGAGAACAACGTAAAGAACATGAGTGACTGATGCCCTCGCTTGTACGTTTGAAGGGATCACTGTTTCAAGAGAGTTCATACCTTCCTATTCGTTCTGCGAATAATTGTGCATTAGAGGGGAAAAAACACTGCCCCCGGTACTCGCTACATTAAACAGTTGATCTGAATGTGCTATCAATAAGCTAGCATTCCAGCTTTAAAATGAACCACTAACATAAAAGTTAACGTAAAAAATCAAAACAGACAAGAAACAGATGATGAATAGACTTTATTTTCGTATCCGGCATGTTTGTAGTCCGGCCTAGACAACACAAGGAGGTACCGGGAGACCTTGTCTCTGTACAGACTCCCTGGCCTGCTTGTTGGCACATTTTTGGTCCTGAACCTCTGAGTTGAGCAGCACAGGTTGCCACTGCTCCCGGAGGACCTCAGGAGAACTTGTTGATTAGCTGGGGCATTCCCATAATATATGTTTGTAAGACGCCTTTTCTGATACGCATAGCTTACATTTATTGTCCGGGTATAAGTGTGGGTAGCTCCTGTGGAGGTGCACAGGGTTCGCGTAGCAGTTCATCTGTATCTGTCGTTATTCTGATGCTTCTTGCCTGTTCAGACTCGTATGAGGTGCGGGAAAGACGCGCCTTGCTTCTATGCAGTGTTGCATGTATTCTGTGTAGCTTGTGAATCGGTCTTTGTGTGGTACGTCGGCGGCGTCAGGGATGATCATCTAGCGGTGTGGTTGGGTTGCGCGGCGGGTTAATTCTCGTGACAACTCATGAGCCAGCTCGTTAGGATTGGGTGTATCAGTCTCTGTGTGCGCCGGGAACCATACGAATATTTGGGTTCATCTAATTTGTGTAGTTCTTGGTTATTAACGAGGATCCTGAAGGCTTGCTTTGAAATCTGTCCTTGCGTAAAATTTCTGATTGCTACTTACGAATCACTCACTCAGTATGAAGGAGTGCTTGTTGGAGGTGATAGTCATGGCTATGGCTACCTTTTCAGCCTCCTCTATATTGTTTGTTATGACAGAGCACGCATTGATACAAAAGCAGGACGTGTCAATCACGGCAGCAGTGTGAGCTTTCCGTTCAGGGTATAGGCTAGCATCTACAATTAGAGATTGACTGTTCGTGCCGTGTGCTTTTAGCAGCGCTTTTGCTCGGTGTTTTCTGCGGTTCGTGTTGATAATGGGGTTCACGTTTTTCGGTATCGGGTTAGAGACGATCTTAGCTCTGATTGTATTGGGGATGTTATGTTTGACACCATGTTGCGAATGGTACATGATCCCTAATCTACTCATTATATTTCTTCCCGTTTTAGTTTAAGTGAGCCTTTTATGCTGGGATATCCGCTGAGCTTCTATGATCTCTTCAAGCGTATTGTGTAGTCCTAGCTGAAGAAAAAGGTCTGTGCTAGCATACTCAGGTATTCCTATCGCTTGTTTGTAGACCTTCCGGATGACCGCATTTATTTTGTTAGTTTCAGCTTTTTGCCAGTTGTGGTATGCTGCTACATACGTTATGTGACATATGACGAAGGTCTGGATTAGACGAATTACGTGGGCTTCTTTCATACCTCGGTGTTTATTCGTGACCCTGCGAATCAGTCTCATTGAATTCGTGACTTTGGTGTTTAGTCTGCGTATAGTCTCGCCGTTGGCACCGTTAGCCTCGATGACTAATCCCAGTACCCATATTTTTGGAACCGTCGGTATAGTTGTGCCCTCCTGTGTATGAATCCTAATTTACTCATATTGCCGCTTGTTTTCCTCGAACTTGGGTGGTCTGCCTCTGATTGCTGACCTGTAGAGAAGAAGTTCTGATTTCTCCAATGAGCATGTGAGTCCTGTGCTTTCAAAGTATCGCTCAACTGTTCCTATTGCTTCTTGGAGTCTCTGTTCTATGTAGCCGTCGCTGTCATCACTGACCCATATTGCGATGTCATCCACGTAGATAGAGTGATGTATTCCCGGAATTGTATTTAACTCTTTCGGTAGTCCAATCATGATTAGATTAAAGAGCAGTGGCGATATTATGGAGCCCTGTGGGGTGCCTCTGCAGCCCAGTTCTTGGAGATCAGATGTAAGGCCTCCTAAGCTGAGCCTTGTTTTCCTGTTGGTCAAGAAGTTTGTGACATAATTACACGCTCGCTCACCCATGTTTAAGCTCGAAATGCGGCTGAGAATTGTTTCATGAGCTGCATTGTCAAATGCTTTTTTGAGATCCAGACCGAGTACGGCTCGTGTGGATCTTGTGGGGTAGCCTATGATTTGGTGTTTAATCTGTAGCATGGCGTCTTGGGTGGCTAGGTGACGACGGAAGCCTATCGTCGTGTGTGGGTAGTACTCACCGTCCTCAAGATAGTTGTTGGCTCTATTTATAAATACATGTTCCATTACTTTTGCTACACATCACGTTAATGAGATGGGTCGGAGATTCACTTTGTTGATTGGCTTTCCAGGTTTTGGTATAAGGATTGTTCTAGCCTCTTTCCATGCGTCGGGTATTGCCCCTTCTCTAGCCTCTTTCCATGCGTCGGGTTATTGCCCCTTCTCTCCAACATTTGTTTATATATTCAGTTAAAAATTCTATGGGTTCACTGTCCAGGTTACGTAATGCTCGGTTGGTGACTCCATCGGGTCCCGGTGCTGATTTTACATTTAATTTGTGGAGCACTGCTCTAATCTCTGCTACCTCAAAGTTTTTGTCCATGTTGGGGTTGGTTTTGCCTGTATAGTTTTTATGTTGTAATAGCGGCGATTTTGGCATGTAGATGTTTTGTAGATCTGTCATTAGCTGTTCCTCGTTTCCTTCGTATTCACGTGTGAGACGACGGATAGTGTGTCTCTGTTCAGTTTTGGTATTGGTGGTATCTAAAAGAAACCTTAGCAACTTCCACGTTTGGGATGTTCCTATTAGGGTGCCCGTGTCCTTACATATCTCGGCCCATTGTTGTTCACACAGCTGCTTGCAGTGACTTTTAATGTCTTTGTTGAGCTGTGCTATCTTTTTCCGGATTGTTCTGTTGTGTCTTTGCCTCCGCCATTTGCATTGTAACGCTTCTTTAGTTCGCCACAGGTGGATTAATCTGTTATCGATGCGCTCAACTGGGATATTTGTTTCTACTTCCTGTGGGGCTATCCTGACGGTGTCTATTATGCTCTCGCACCATTGCTGGATATCGTCAGGAGTTTCGGTAATCGTTTTTCTGATATCCCGAAATTTTTCCCAGTCAACTAGACGTCTCGTGTTAAACATGCTCGTAATCCTGTCGATATCGGTGAATGGTACGTGTGTTTCGAGTATGCGATGGTCGCTTCCTAAATCATCGAATGTGTTGTGCCATGTAGCCCCCGGGGCATTCTTGGTTATTGTAAGACCCGGTGTTGTGTATCGCTGGGTGCTTGTACCTATGCGTGTGTATGCATGCAGGTCTGTTATCAGAGTAAGCTGTTCATCCAGTATGCTCTGCCATAACCGTTTCCCTTTGGGGGTGGTGTAACCATATGCCCATGCCTCGTAAACGGCGTTGAAGTCCCCTGCTATGATGAGCGGGGCGCTGCCAGCTAATATCATGGCCTACCGAAATATAGAGTGAAATTGCTGTTTGTGATTTGACGGACTGCAATATACGTTATTTCTACTGAAATATCAGTAGAAATATTAGCCGTCATGCAAACACTGCGGAATCAGGGTGTAGATGAAGTATATATAAACATTCTGGAAGAAATCTACAGGGGATCAACTGCTACCTTAGTGCTTCATAAAGAAAGCAACAGAATACCAATCAAGAAGGGTGTAAGGCAGTGGGACACAATTTCCCCAATGCTATTTACCGCGTGCTTACAGGAGGTTTTCAGAAGCCTAGAATGGGAACAGTTAGGGATACGAGTCAATGGGAATACCTTAGTAACCTGCGCTTCGCCGATGACGTTGCATTGCTGAGTAACTCGGGGGACGAATTGCAACTCATGATTACGGAGTTAGACAAGGAGAGCAGAAAGGTGGGTCTTAAAATTAATCTGCAGAAAACGAAAGTAATGTACAACAACCTCGGCAAGGAGCAGCGCTTCGAGATAGGTAATAGTGCACTTGAAGTTGTAAAAGACTTTGTCTATATACTTAGGGCAGGTAATAACCGCAGAGCCGAACCATGAGATTGAAGTAACTAGAAGAATAAGAATAGGGTGGAGCACATTCGGTAAGCACTCTCAAATTATGACAGGTAGATTGCCACTATCCCTCAAGAGGAAGGTATATAACAGCTGTATCTTGCCGGTACTTAGCTACGGAGCAGAAACCTGGAGACTTACAAAGAGGGTTCAGCTTAAATTGAGGACGACGCAGCGAGCAATGGAAAGAAAAATGGTAGGTGTAACCTTAAGAGACAAGAAGAGAGCAGAGTGGATTAGGGAACAAACGGGGGTTAAGGATATCATATCTGAAATCAAGAAGAAGAAATGGACATGGGCAGGGCATGTAGCGCGTAGACAGGATAACCGCTGGTCATTAAGGGTAACTGACTGAATTCCCAGAGAAGGGAAGCGGGTTAGGGGGAGACAGAAGGTTAGGTGGGCAGATGAGATTAAGAAGTTTGCGGGTATAAATTGGCAGCAGCAAGCACAAGACCGGGTTAGCTGGCGGAACATGGGAGAGGCCTTTGTCCTGCAATGGACGTTGTCAGGCTGATGATGATAATGATGATGAATATACGTTAAGAATAAATGTGCTGCTCCCTTTTGTTTTCCTAGATAAAAGTTCTGTCATTATATGGTTGTATCCACATTCTAGATTATGGGTTCTGGCCCCGCCGCGGTGGTCTAGTGGCTAAGGTACTCGGCTGCT